AACTTTCTACCGCTATATTAGTCCACTTCACACAATTCAGTAACCCATGCTTGTCGTAAGAAGCGAGTAACGGGATCAGGTGGTCAGACTCTATGACTTGGTTGACACATGTCATCGTATTCTAATTGTGTAGATCGATGCTCATGCTGTGATCACTGGATTGTCTGGTCCAGACTCGATTATTTACAGACCGCCGCCATATAGCTAGAATGTCGCTGATTGCGGCGTAAAACTCACTCACTCACCCACTCACTTCACACAAAAGGAACACTAGGCGTCATACGTAACTGCAGTGAAATACCTGTCCGTAACAAGAAAGGTCTTCATGAAGCTATTGATTGAAAACACTGGTCAAATGACAGACTTTGAGTCATCTTTATAAGGAAAATCAAGCAGATTTTTACAAAGGAATGTGGAACTGCAGACAATATGTTTACTTTGTATGTAATGGTATGCATTTTCCATTTATTTCTCCCAAAGCATCTTAACTATTCATTTTTATGGTTTCGATGTCTAAACTTCAACATTCTTGGCATTATACTGACAGTCATACGATATGTACACACATAGCTTAAATCCTCTGGTAGCTAGTATTGTATGTAGTCTGACTCATTATTTTAAATGTATTTACAAGCAGCAGGCAGGGAGGTAACTGAAAAATATCAGATTATAAAGGAATATCTACCTCCAAAAACGCCCCAAATATATATTCTGTTGCACATTTATCCCTGAAGATGGCACAAATATGCATATTATCTTTTATATGCATATGGTGGAACTAGTTCAACAGTTGGGAGACTCCAACAAACGACTGATCGCTTCAGAAAATGTTGTCATAGATTTAGACGTTTTCGCAACGTCTATACACCCCACACTGTCGTTTTTCGGAACGGAGAATATTTAGAATGGAAATTATGGAAAAGGGAATCAAATATTGTCTCATTACAAATATTTAGGACAACTAGTGTTGACACCCAAACCCGATTTGAATCGTGTATCAACAGCACTAGCACACCAAGCAGAAAATGTTTGTCTCTGCACACTCTGCAAATTTATTTGAGTTGAAAGAGTCGTTGTAGACACGTTTCTCAGGTATGTTTCTGTATACAGAAATGTAACCCCGGCAAAATTAGAATACAGAATGGTATCCTGTACTCTAAACCGGGAGCGTGTCAATATTCCTCAACACCAAACCGCGACCTGTTCAGGCTGGTCGGGTGTCAACCAGAAGAGACCATCTGGTATTAATCCGTTTGTGACATTTCTAAATAAGGTTGACGCTGATCTAAGTAAACGGAGCATGAAACAGTAACGTGTTATACCTGTGTAAAAAGCATCAGGTGGAGACATTGGGTTGTCTGTGCGGGAAGCAATTAGCATAGTGAGTACGTGAGTTTAGTTTTACGCCACACTCAGCAATATTCCAGCAAAATGGCGGCGGTCTGTAAATAATCGAGTCTGGACCAGACAATCCAGTGATCAACAGCATGAGCATCGATCTGAAGAATTGGGAACCGATGACATGTGTCAACCAAGCCAGTGAGCCTGACCACCCGATCCCGTTAGTCTCCTCTTACGACAAGCATGGGTTACTGAAAGCTCATTCTAACCCGGACCTTCACTGGTCCAATTAGATTAGGTCTGAAGCTATATTTGTTAACAAATGAATATGTGTTAATGTATTTTCTTGGTTCAGTTAATACTGATGTCTAAATACAAATATCTATTTGACTGCTTCGAATTCCATACCATGTGTCAAGACTAGTTCTTCACATGATCTGCAACTACAAATATTCTTTACATGTTCTGCAAATTCAAATACTCTTCACATCTTCTGCAACTACACATGTTTTGTATATATTCTGCAACTATAAGTATCATTTACATGCTCTGCTACCAGGGTTTAATGTTGTTGTTTGCTGATCATGACATATTGCATAAGAAATGTTTGCATGTTACAAAAACTCTCCAAAAAGTGTACATAATGTATTACATGTTACATACAGACTTCACCCATGAAGACCCTGGCTGGAATGGAATGGTCAGGCTAGCTGATTTAGTTGATGTCATTGTATCCCAGTTGAGCAGGTCGATGCTCGTAAAACCAATCTCTGGATTATTTGGTCCGGATTCGTTTACAAACAGACCGCCGTCAAATAACTGTAATATTGCCGGTGGTGCATTTAACAACACACATACAACTAACAATCAGTAAAATCGACAACATTGTTTTATGACACGCCAATAAGACAAGACTGACAAAGCAAAAACTGAAGTAGTAAAATCTTACAGAACAATGATAAAGGATAACGATGCAATACAGCACGAACCTAACATTTTCTATGAAAAATTATATACAGACCAAGACAATAGTCAGATAGACTTGACTGACTACTTCAAGGATGTTGATGTACCTAGACTAAGAAAAGCAGAATCTGAGAGTTTTGAAGGAGATCTAACATTATCCGAACTGTCAATAGCATTATGAACAATGAAAATTGAAAAAGTCCTGTCCCCGATGGCTTTACTGCGGAATTTCTAAACATTTTCTGGAACGATCTGGGCTTATTTCTGCTAAAATCTCTAAACTATGGATTAATAAAGGCAACCTGTCAATCAACCAAAATCAAGGTCTTATAGCGTGTATCCCTAAGGGAAATAAGCCTACAAAATCCTTAAAACTGGCGACCAGTATCACTATTGAACACTTCTTATAAAATTGGTTCAGCTGCACCAGCCAATTTAGTTCTGCAAAGTACTATTAATGAAAGGGAGATTCATAGAGACACCTATCAGATACCAGGACTACTTTTATGTAGCAGACTTTGAAAAAGCATTTGACACAGTAGATAGAAATTATTAATTTTGATAAATGTACTATCGTCTTTTAAATTTTGTATCAAGCATTATTAAATGGATTAAGACTCTTTATAATTATATAGAATCTAGGATTATGGTCAATTGTTTTGCTGCACAACCTTTTAGGATTGAACGTGGGTGCCGTAAAGGAGATCCTGTTGCACCATATCTGTTTATTCTTTGTGTGGAAATGTTAGGTAACTGTAATGCCTCGTTCAATGGGTGAAAGAACTTACATTCAGCATAAACCTTCTGCAGAAAAATCACAACGTCGAACTTCCGGGGAAAGCTTGTTTTGTGACAAACTCTACAGTTTTTTGACTGGTAAAAAGACTGTGGCATGACCCGTTGCAAACACAAACCAACACGGTGCAATTTTTACCCCTCCTCCACAGAAGAGCACAAATGAAAACAATATAGAAGCGTCGTAAAATCTTTACCGTCTGCATTAATTTACGTGTTGTTACCCAGTAACATTACACTCCCCGTCTGATGACAAACCTTTGTCATCACAACCTTTGATAAACTTAAATTTTTGACTAGAAGTTACAGTCCATAATGAAGTGATGAATTGCAGAACTAAATCAGTAATCGCTCTGAAAAACTTTAAAGTCAGATTCAAAGGCACAAAATGCAACCAAATGTCACTGATCTGGTCTCTCTGAAACCAGCAACACCATCTCAGACACCGGTCGAGTGAGAATTGTCACTTTCCCATCCTTCTGGACACGCAGAACAGCTTTACGGACCTTGTCGTCCGCACCTGGTAGAACAGTCATGACCCGTGCCATGGGCCAGTGGTTTCTGTGCTCATTCATATCCCTTAAGAGCACAACGTCTCCTTTTTGGATGTAAGGTCTGTCAGAAGTCCATTTTTGACGGGTCTGTAACGTGACGAGGTACTCGTTTCGCCAGCGTTTCCAAAACATTTCAGCCAATATCTGAACTTGTTTCCATTATGAGCGATATAGATCCTTCAAGTCATACCGGACAGTAGAGCATGACTCATGACCTGTCTTCTGAGTCAACAAGGTGGCAGGACTGAGCACAAAGGGTTCCTCAGGGTCTGAGGACACAGATACGAGAGGCCGTGCATTGATGATTGCACCTACCTCGGCCATGAGAGTCACAAGAACATCGTGAGTCAAGTCCTTCTGATTAATGTCCATCATCATGGAGTCAAGAATACGACGGGTTGTCCCTATCATGCGTTCCCATACTGACTGACTGACTGACTGAGTTTAGTTTTACGCCGCTTTTAGCAATATTCCAGCAATATCACGGCGGGGGGACACCAGAACTGGGCTTAACACATTGTGCCCATGTGGGGAATCGAACCCGGGCCTTCAGCGTGACGAGCCAACGCTTTAACCACTAGGCTACCGCACTGCCCCCTCGTTCCCATACTCCTCCCATGTGAGAAGAGTGGGGTACATTGAATATCCATGTGGATCCTGAGTTGTACAGGTGGTGACTAACAGCACTGTCCTCAACATTAACAGCATTTATCTGAAGGTCATTCGTGGCACCCACGAAATTGGTTCCGCAATCTGATCTGAAGATCTTGACTTTACCTCTGACTGATTCAAAGCGTTTTAAAGCATTTATGAAAGCAGATGAGCTCATTTCCTCCACTACTTCAATGTGCACAGCTCTTGATGTGAGGCAAGAGAACATGATGGCCAACCACTTGCTTTGGGCGGCTCCACCTCTCGTACGTCGAGTAACAATTGTCCATGGTCCAAACGTATCAATGCCAACATTTGTGAATGGAGGGCAGCTCGACACGATCCACAGGCAGATCAGCCATTTTCTGTGTCTCTTGTCTACCTCCAACCCGCAAGATATTTTCATCATCAAGATATGGATCAAGATTGAGGATTTTGCTGTCCTTTGGGAGAGGTTTTTTTGGGCACACGCTTCAATTTCTCTAGTATACACCTCACGTTGCACCTGACGTAGGAGGAAGGCTTCAACCTCCTTGTAGGTTTCACCACTTTTCTCCATTAGCAATGGAGTACGAAATCTTCTGGCAAAGCTTTTCAGCCTTGCAAAGGCCAGGACTTACCTTTTCCAAGATGAGTATCTTTGAAAATGATGATCTCCAATTTGTGTCGAAGGTTTTACACTGGTCATCAGTGTCACTTTCTCTGTCTGGACCTCCTGATCTGTGTCTGCATCAGACAGTGGATAGTCCAGAATGTCCTGTGATGCATTTTCTCAAGTAACCAGGAATTAACTTTACTGGTTGAGGCGTTGGAAGGCCGTGTTCCATGGTCAGCAGGGTTCAAGTCCGTGGGGACATATTTCCACTGCTCCGGTTTTGTAGACTTGTGGATTCTCTCCACTCTATTTGCCACATATATGTAGAAACGTCTTGTTCTGTTGTGGATGTAGCCCAAAACAACTCGGCAGTCTGTGTAAAAGTGGAAACAGTTAAGGGGAATGTCCAACTGCTCTGACACTAGCTCACCTATCTCAACTGCTAGCACTGCAGCACATAGCTCCAATCGTGGTATGGTATGTCCAGTAGTTGGTGCAACCTTCGCTTTCCCAATGATGAAGCCAAGGTTTCCTTGATCAACGGGGTTTGCACTTCTCATGTAGGCTACTGCAGCAATGGCTTTTTCTGAGGAGTCAGAAAAGATGTGGACCTCCTTGGGTCCACTGTAGTCTACACCTGGCAAGTACATACGGGGTACCGTGAGGGTTTCCAAGCGTCCTAAGAGTTCCTTCCATGCCATCCATTTAGGCTCATGTTCTGAAGGCAAAGGTTCATCCCAGTCCTTTGATCCTGAGATAAGTTCTCGAAGGAGGATCTTACCTTGCACAGTTATGGGGGCCACAAATCCGAGAGGGTCATAAACACTGTTGACTGTGGACAGGATACCTCTTTTGGTGTAGGGTTTTTCTGTTCTGGACACAATGAATTTAAATGAGTCAGTACAGAGGTCCCATCCAAATCCTAGGCTTCTTTGAATAGGAAGTAACCGTGACCCTAAGTCCAAGTCCTTGAGGTCCTTCGCACGATCCTCCTGATGAAATGCTTCCATCACCTGACAGCTGTTGGAGGCGATTTTGCACAGTCGAAGATTTCCATTTTCTTTCAGAGCCTCTTGCGTTCTTTTTAACAGGTCAACAGCCTCACTGGCTGAAGCAATGATTTTAGTCCATCATCGACATAAAAGTTTCTGGTCACAAATTGCTTCATGTCGGTCCCATATGCTTCTTCTCCTGCCTGAGCAACTTTACGGAGACAATGAGTTGCAACTGCTGGTGATGATGTATTACCGAATACATGTACACGCATTCTGTAGTCTATCAAATCTCTGGTTGGATCACTGTCACGATACCACAAAAACCGCAGGAAGTCTCTGTGACACTCTGCTACTTGAAAGCAGAAGAACATTTGTTGAATATCAGCAGTGACTGCAACTGATTCTTTCCTGAACCTGAGAAGTATCCCCTGAAAACTATTGCACAGATCTGGTCCTTGCAATAACACACTGTTCAGGGAAACTCCCTCATGCTAAGATGAGGAATCAAACACAATTCGGACTTGTCCTGGTTTTTGAGGATGGTATACACCAAAGATAGGTAAGTACCAGCATTCCTGGTCCTTCTCAAGTGGTGGAGCCACTTCTGCATGCTTGTTGTCTAGAGCCTTTTTCATGTACTCTGTGAAGTGTTCTCTCTTCACCTGATCTCGTTGCAAGGTCCGATCCAATGTTACAGCTCTCTTCATGGCTTGGGACGGTTGTTTGGCAGACGTGGTCTGCATTCACGAAAGGGTAATGGGGAAACCCAACTTCCATCAGAGTTCTGATGCATTTCAGTGTCCATGACATGAAGAAATGATTTGTCTTCAAGAGAGGGTCCAATCTTATTGTCCTCTTTTGTAAGTGTGAACAGTTCTCTTCCAAGACAGTCGTTCTGAGGCCTTTCCTTCACAGTATAGTTGTTTGGACAGGGTGTGAACAGTGATGTTCGACCATCATTTAGAAGGTGTCTTGTTGACATGCACACTGTTTGGGGGATGGACTTTTCCTAGGCACATTTTTCCAATGACAACCCAGCTTAGTGGAAGTCTTTGAGCATAAGGAGACGAAGGGGGTCCGATGCGCTGGTCGAGAACGTGGTGGCATCAATCAGATCCCTGCCAATTAACAGCATGATCTCAGCATTTTCATGCAGAGGAGGTATGAGTCCAACAATGTCAGATAGATGGGGATGATAACTAACAACAGCTGGTGTCGGTATCTCCTCTCTGTGATCTGGTAAATCTGAGCATTCGATCAAGGTCGGAAGCTGTAACTTTGCAAAACCATCAAGGGATTCTACAACAAATCCGCTAGCTGTTCTGCCAGACATATTGGTTTGTCCTGAACATGATGACAAAATGTAAGGTATCTTGTCACTATGAATATCCATCATATCGAAGAATTCACTCTTACCAAGCGTTGTGTTGCTCTGATCATCGATGATTGCATAGGCCATGATAGTCTTTTCAGGATGTCCTTCTGGAAAGATGCTGACAAGAACTGTTTTCGCACATGATTTCCCAACAGTTTCCTTGTGGACTTCTCTCCCCGCCATAGTGTTGTGCACCCTGACTGTTCTGTCTATCAGTTTCCCGTTTGTCACTGTGCAAAGCAGATAGGTGACGCGTACTCCCACATTCATCACATTTCACTGCTGTTTTACAGTCAGAGACCTGGTGTTCTGTTGACGCACATCTGAAACACACATTCCATTTCTTTAGGAGTTGCCTTCATTCATTATAAGGCTTTGCTCGAAAAGCTATGGATTCTTTCAGGGAATGCTGTGTCTTATGCAGAGGACACTTCACTGGACCTGGACCCTGCTGTGCCCTAGATGCCGCACTCTCACTGGCTGTAACACCAGTTTTTCTGTTTAACACAAAGTTCCTTGAAGGAGGGCGCAACTGTTCACTTGCCCTTCTTGATGGAACGTGACTTTGACTTTGAACTTGATACCAGAAGCTACGGTCATTTTTTATCTTGCTCATATCACTAATGAAGTCAACAAAAACATGAAAAGGTGGAAAGGTCACACTGTATTTTCTTTTGTACCTAACAGCGTGTGTTGTCCACTTTTCTTGGATGCCATACGGAAGCTTGTTAACTATCGGGGTGACGCCTGAGGACGTGTCAAGGTAAGCAAGCAGGGCACTGTACATCTCTTGCTGTTTAACTGATTCTATTTCGGAGAGTAGGTCCGATAATTCATAGAGTTTTTTGTTATCATTGTTGGATAACTTAGGAAAGCTTGAAAGCCTGGCTTTCAAAGATGCTTCCACAAGTTCAGGGCTGCCGTACCGTTCCTCAAGTCGATCCCAGATTTGCTGTAATCCTCTAGTTGGATTTAGAACGTTAGCCTGCCTTAGTCTCTGGGCGTGTTGTGAAGACATTTGACTAGCAAGTCCATCTCTTCATTGGAGCTTACACTTAGTTCTGACATGACATTCTGGAAGCTAGCTTTCCAAATGCAGTAGGACTCTGGCATGTCATCATACTTACTCAAGCGAGTTAAAACAAGTTCTTTCTTTAGAAGAAAGTTGGACAGTTCACTTGTAATACGATTCTCCTGTCGACTCATGGGAGTGGTCACCCTGGTAACCCGAGGAGGTAACTGTTGGTCACGGAAAACACGAACATGTTGGTCATGGGTAACACGAACGTGTGTGCCCTCTTCCCTCTGCTCACTTGTTCCTGTGATGACATTATCATGTTGTGTCCGAAGCTCTGTAGGATTTTGAAGAAGTTCCCCAACATACTGCTTCGTACGATCTTCAGCTGAGAGCTGTGGAAGTTGGTTAATATCAGATAACCTCGGACCACGAATGTCCTCCGATTCTAGAGCCATATATTCTGCCTGAACAGCAGCTGCATCCTTCTGTATCTTCAATAGTCCAATATCTGCTTCCATATCTGCTCTGTTACGAACGGTCTGAGCTACCAGTTGTTGCTGACGTTCCTCCATGAGAGCATGATTTTTCTTCATTTCAGCCTCCTTTTCTGCAAACTGAAGAGCTGCTCGTGCTGCCTCTGCCTTAGCACGTTTTCGAGCCAGAATTGAACTACTACCTGAAGCTGCACTTGTTCTGTTTGACCTGTCACCGTGTTTCGAGGATGCACTTGTTCTGTTTGACCTGTCACTGTGTTTCGAGGATGCACATGATGGACGAGACGATGACTCCAATAACTTCTGCAGTCTGCTGTTCAACTTGCTTGAAGCTGCATCAACCCGTTGTCGAAGCTGCTCAAATGCAGGTCTCAAATATTCACGTTCATGTCTTAGCTCTGGAATATGACTTCGACATAAAAAGTCCTCATAATTAGAAACCGCAGTTATGTGTCCGTCAAAAACTATAGCAAGTTTCTTTTCACATTCATGAAGTTCACTTATATCACCACCACAAGTGTCACAGGCTACCAACATGTCCTTAACAGCATCACATGTGTTCTGCAATTTCAGCTTGTATTCCTTAAAATATGTCATTTGTAATTCTTTTCCTTTCTCAGTTAATGTTCTTTGTCGTTGAGAACATGTTTCCTCATTGTCAGCATTTTCATTGGTGTAATCATCTTTATTAACTGTTTCTTTATCATTTTCTAATATCTGTTGTTGAAAACATGTTTCCTTATTTCTTTCAGGATTTTCACTGGCAGACTCTCCTTTAAGAACTGTTTCTTTACCACTTTCACTCTGCATCATGAGTTTATGACCTTATCAGTGTGCCATAAAACTCGGACGAGGTGAAGTGTACATTCGTTAGTTTGTAACACTGACAGCGTACCGTAACACACAATCACTCGGCGAATGGATTACACATTGACTGCCTTCTTGTAAAAAGTGTCACAAAGTTCATTTGTCAATGTTCCGATGTCAGAATAATGTTGTAACACACATACCATGTCCAAAGAAGCTCAACCTCGAAATCCAGTTGGTTGTATCGGCGATACGAATGGTCAGGTTGAAGTCTTTTCACTGTAATGCCTCGTTCAATGGGTGAAAGAACTTACATTCAGCATAAACCTTCTGCAGAAAAATCACAACGTCGAAGTTCTGGGGGAATCTTGTATTGTGACAAACTCTAGATTATAATGACTGGTAAAAAGACTATTGCATGACCCGTTGCGAACACAAACCAACACGTGTTTCCGGTGCAATTTTTAACCCTCCTCCACAGAAGAGCACAAATGAAAACAATATAGAAGCGTCGTAAAATCTTTACCGTCTGCCTTAAGTTACGTGTTGTTACGCAGTAACATTACAGTAACAATGACAAAATTAAAGGACTTAGTATCAGAAACCAAATAATATATTCTGTCACAATTTGCTGATGACACTACTCTCACATAAGATGGATCCGAAAAATGCCTCTATGCAGTTCTGAACGTCTTGCAAACATTTGCTCGCTTCTCTGGGTTAAAGGTAAACGTTGACAAGACTAAACTCATTTGGTTTAATTAACAAAAGAGATCACGTTACAAACTATGTAAATATAACTTCCTTAAGTGGCCTTTTTTTCTTTATTCTTTATTCGCAGAGTGTATGTAGGCCATCGGCCCATAATACAAATATTAAATGTTTGCAGCCATATATGATTGGCGGTGCTTTACAGCATAATAAACCAACATTGCTACATTTCTGATGACAAAGGTATTGTTTGAGGTCATCAATATATTGTAATTTGACAAAGAAGAGTATGTGTAAAACGTGGTAGGAATATATATAATATAGTGCGCAAGGAACTGTATGCAGTACACACTAAAAGGAAATGATACTCGTTTTCTATATATCCATTGTCGCACATGTTACATAACCTGTGATGTCTGGGCTTATTTGTGTATCTACCTGTCTCAATATTTAATTGATGGGAACCACAGCGAAACTGTGCGGGTGCAATGCGGAATTTACTAACGTTAAAAACCCTTAGATATGGTTCCATGGATAGATTACACTTGAAAAGAGAATATGAATACGTTTTAGAACTTGATGATAACGAATTATGCCATTCTTGATGGGATATATGCATGTAGAAGCTGGCATGATGAAGTGGAACACTTTTTATGGATAGACAACTTCTTTGTTGCAGTGGTAGTTGCGACGTTTCGGTGAAGATCCTAACACCGTTATCAAGCAAATGATACACAACATTTGCACAAGGAGAAATATATACATGGCGGGTATTGGTTTATGCAATAGAAGAGGTTGATGTACGGTGTGTTGACATGAGACTTGTTGTGATAGGAATGATTGAAGCCAGTAGACAAAGGGGGGGTTATTCTTGATTAGCCTTGATTAGTTGATCCAGAGACCATATAATAGATATGTCTCTGGTGAGTGTAAGAGAAGCAGAATTTACATTGTTGAGGGTTTTTGCGTAATGGGTGAACTTTGTATGTGAGTGCGCCAAATGTACTCTGTGATGGAAGAGTGGTGGTGTCAAATGTGGGGAAAGTTGTTTGTGTGTTGGGGTTGTATTAGGTGGGTTGTCTGTTGTTGATTGTGCTGAATTGGCTGATTTTGGGTTGAGTGGAGATGGTGTTGGCGGCGATGTCGATGTACTGTTGGATGTTTTCTTGTGTTTCACGAGCGTCTATATGTATAACCCCCTGTATTGATGATTGCTAATTTGTTTTCCATCTATGAGAGTGTGTTTTAGTGTGTTGTTGAGTTGTTGTTTGTCGGCAAATGTAATTTTGAAGCCTCGGTCGCAATTGTTTATATGTATTTGTATTGAATGTTTAATTGTTTGAGGCATAGGGCAAATTTGTTAATTGAATATGTGTGGTTGAGTGGTGTGTGTGTGTTGGTGGCAAATGCTAGGAGAATGTACTTTTTGGTTTGGGCTTGGGGTGGGGTTGCTTGGGTGCATTGTTTCTTACTTGATTGGGTGTTTTCAGTAGGTGAGATGTGTGGACGTTTTGCGGTTTTGGTTGTAGTAGTAGTTGTAGTAGTTTGGGTTGGTGGCTGGGGAGTATGATTGGTTGGTTGGGATGGTAGAAGGGAATCAAGGTCAATGCCGAAATTTATGGGAATGGGGTCTATTTGATGCGGGGATGTCAGGGATGGGAAGTCTTTGGATGGTGTGGAGAAGAGAGATGTGGACAGGAGGGGGGAGGCCATGATGCATTGGGAGGCGAGGTTGGGGAGGGGGGTAGTGGGATAGCTGGGGGACGGTGTGGATATGTACACTATATATAAATTCAAATGTAAACAAATGATAACGAGTGAGCATATATACAAAATGATAGAGAAGAAAAAACCTTTTGTGAGTAATGAGAGTTCAAATTGATGAAAGTTCAGTGATAGCTATATACACAAAAGTTCTTGATGGCTATATACACGAAAAAGTCAATGGAAACACTTGCGTTTTCCTGGCCTGGTCGGGCACGGCACGGCGGCCGGAGGGGTGAGGGTGTCAGATCTGTGCGTTGAGCTTAAGGGTGTAGAGTAGGAGGATAACTGCGTAGGCAGGGCCAGATTTGATTTATAGGTAGGTGACCAACGATCGGTGAGGCGCACTTCGTACGTCCTGCTCCAATTAGAGTCAAAGCAATGGGTAA